ATTATCCTTAGTGGAATAAGGATATGTTTCTCGATTATGGAGGTGACAAAAGGTTCGCCGTAAAGGGTTACGTCGATGCAAATTTTAACACAGATCCAGATGACTCTAAGTCTCAATCTGGATACATTTTGAAAGTAGGAGCAATTAGCTCACAAGAAAAACATGATCACAACTTAGTAATCTTTGGGTGTTAATCACATAGCAATGTGAACTACATTATTGACTCTAGTAAACCATTTGGGTGTTGGTCACATGACGATGTGAACTATGGGTGTTAATCACATGATGATGTGAACTATTGGTGTTAAATCACATGGTGATGTAAACTAGATTATTGACTCTAATGCAAGTGGGAGACTGAAGGAAATATGCCCTAGAGGCAATAATAAAGTTATTATTTATTTCCTTATTTCATGATAAATATTTATTAGTCATGCTAGAATTGTATTAACTGGAAACATAATACATGTGTGAATACATAGACAAACATGGTGTCACTAGTATGCCTCTAATTGACTAGCTCGTTAATCAAAGATGATTAAGTTTCCTAACCATAGACATGAGTTGTCATTTGATTAACGGGGTCACATAATTTGGAGAATGATGTGATTGACTTGACCCATTCTGTTAGCTTAGCACTTGATCGTTTAGTATGTTGATATTGCTTTCTTCATGACTTATACATGTTCCTATGACTATGAGATTATGCAACTCCCGTTTACCGGAGGAACACTTTGTGTGCTACCAAAAGTCACAACGTAATTGGGTGATTATAAAGGTGCTCTACAGGTGTCTCCGAAGGTACTTGTTGAGTTGGCGTATTTCGAGATTAGGATTTGTCACTCCGATCGTCGGAGAGGTATCTCTGGGCCCACTCGGTAATACACATCACTATAAGCCTTGCAAGTATTGTAACTAATGAGTTAGTTGTGGCATGATGTGTTACGGAACGAGTAAAGAGACTTGCCAGTAACGAGATTGAACTAGGTATTGAGATACCGACGATCGAATCTCGGGCAAGTAACATACCGATGACAAAGGGAACAGCGTATGTTGTTATGCGGTTTGACTGATAAAGATCTTCGTAGAATATGTAGGAGATAATATGAGCATCCAGGTTCCGCTATTGGTTATTGACCAGAGATGTGTCTCGGTCATGTCTACATAGTTCTCGAGCCCGTAGGGTCCGCATGCTTAACGTTCGGTGACGATTTGTATTATGAGTTTATGTGTTTTGATGTACCGAAGGTAGTTCGGAGACCCGTATGAGATCAGGGACATGACGAGGAGTCTCGAAATGGTCGAGACGTAAAGATCTATATATTGGACGACTATATTCGGATATCGGAAAGATTCCGAGTGATTCGGGAATTTTTCGGAGTACCGGAGAGTTACGGGAATTCGCCGGGGAGTGTATGAGCCTTATTGGGCTTTAAGGGAAAGAGAGAGGAGAGGCTGCCCCCCCCCCAATGTTTAGTGCGAATTGGACTAGGGGGAGGGGCGGCGCCCCCTCCTTCCTTCTCTTCTCTTTTCCCTTTCCTTCTCTCCTACTCCTACTACTTGGAAGGGCTCCTAGTTCTACTAGGAAAGGGGGAATCCTACTCCCGGTGGGAGTAAGACTCCCCTAGTGCGTGCCATAGAGAGGCCCCCCCTCCTCCAATCCTTTATATATGAGGATGGGGGCACCCCTTGGAGACACAACAATTGATCATTGATCTTTTAGCCGTGTGCGGTGCCCCCCTCCACCATAATCCACCTCGGTCATATCGTAGCGGTGCTTAGGCGAAGCCTTGCATCGGTAGCATCATCATCACCATCATCACGCCGTCATACTGACGGAACTCTCCCTCGAAGCTCTGATGGATCGGAGTTCGTGGGACATCATCGAGCTGAAGGTGTGCTGAACTCGGAGGTGCCGTACGTTCGGTACTTGAATCGGTCGGATCGTGAAGATGTACGACTACATCAACCGCGTTGTGCTAACGCTTCCGCTTTCGGTCTACGGGGGTGGACACATTCTCCCCTCTCGTTGCTATGCATCACCATGATTCTGAGTGTGCATATGATTTTTTTTTGAAATTACTACGTTCCCCAACAGAAGGAGCTCTCGTCAAAGAAGACATGGCAGGAAACGATAACTTTGCATGTCGTTCGGTTATAGCAGCGGTACCCCTTGTAATCAGGCGAATAGCCAAGGAATACGCACGCGGTCAAGCGGGGAGCTAATTTGTGAGCAGCGGTGGCCGTGGTGTTTGGGTAGCATAGATACCCAAAAACACGCATGTGCGCGTAATCTGGGTGAGCACCGAAGAGTAGATAGAAGGGGGGTGAGGTTATGGCGTGGACGGCATGGGCGTCTATTTAGGATGAAAGTGGCGGTGTTGAGAGCCTCTGCCCAAAAAGAAAACGGCATGGAGGAATAGATTAGAAGACTACAGACAATGTCGTTTAGGGTTCGCATGATCTGTTGTCTGTTCGGGGGGCTTGTGTAGGGGCACGACATACGTAGTGCAGTGCCGTGTGTGGAGAAGAACTCGTGGGGGGAATGGTTGTCAAATTCACGTCCATTGTCTGTTTGGAGGGTTAGGATGTTCAGGTTAAAGTGGCGATGAATGAAGTTCTGAAACGTTAGTAAAGTGGAGAGAACTTCAGACTTGGCGCCCAGAGGGAACGTCCAAACGAAATGACTATAGTCATCTAGCACAACTAAGTAGTATTTGCAAATGGATAAACTTTGTACAGGAGAGGTCCATATGTCACAGTGAACTAACTAAAATGGAAAGTAAGATACATGCTGTGAATCTGAAAACGACGATCTAATGTGTTTACCGAGCTGACAGGCATGTCAAGTGTGAGCTGGGGCGGCCATTGTGGAAGGAGAGGCTTGTTGCAGGGTGGTGGCCAAAGCATCACGTCCTGGATGGCCGAGACGTTGATGCCAGAGGTCCACGGTGGCGGCGATGAGATTGTGGTGGGTGTGTGTGTGTTTGACGGAGTAGAGCTCGCCGTCTTCATCACATCGGAGGATCTCCCTCTTTGTTCGCCGTTCCTTAACAAAAAAACCGATATCATCAAAGTCAACATTAACGGGATTATCACGGGCAAGAGTTTTGACAGAGATAAGGTTTTTGATTATGTTTGGGCAGACAAGAACATTGTGAAGGGAGAGGGGAGAAGATGCAGTAGGGATGATTTGGTGGCCGGAGTGCGTGACAGTCAAGGACGATCCGTCACCAAAAACTATGCGAGAAGGAGCAGTAGGGTGAGATGAGGAAAGCATACCTGAGGACGAGGCCATATGCGACGTGGCTCCTGTGTCAAGATAACACTCGCCGCCGGCAGGTGATGACGGAGCCGGCTGCTGCATAGACATGATGTTCAGGGCCTGGATGAGGGTCGTCCGGTCCCATGACGGCGTGTTTGGAGCACTGTAGGGCGGTGCGGGGCGTAGGGTGGAGGAGCGCCGTAGGGTGGGGCCGGAGCGCCATAGGGCGGGGCCGTCTGGTGATGAGACGCGGTCCCCGCGAACGGAGTGGGCGCGCCAGGGCGCGCGCCGAGGATGCCAGAGCCAGGAGCGTGAGGGCGCCATGGCATCGCCCAAGCATGGACCATGCCGGTCCATGGTGCCGAAGATGGTGCCGGGGGACGCGGTAGAACCGCGTTGTTGTAGGCGCCCCCGCCGGTGCCGCCGCCAGAGTTGGCCTTGCCCTTGCCCTTGTAGCGGCCACCGCCGTTGTTGTTGTTGTGGGGGCGGTTGGGGCCGCTCCCCCCGCCGGAGTTGGAGCTGCCCGAGCCACCAGAAGCAGGCGGGCGCGCGGCGTGGAGAGCCATGTCGGTGGCGCCACTGCCCTGCACGGCGTGGCGACTCTCCTCCAGGAGCAGGAAGGCGCGGTAGGCAAGGAAAGTGGGGAGAGGCCACTGCATGGTGACAATCGGGATGTCATAGTGCAGGCGAGGAGCGAGACCACGAAACATGTTCAGTACCTGGTCACGGTCAGTGACAGGCTCGCCAAGATCAGCCAGGCGGTCGGCACACTCCTTGAGGCGGGGGTAGTAGGCGATCACAGAAGACGAGCCCTGCTCGATTCGATGGAATCCCGTGGCGAGGTAGACAGCCTGGTGCTCAATATTCTCCAAGAAGAGGGTGGCGATGGAGGCCCAGATCTGCGCAGCCGTGGCGTTCCTTTGATGGACGAGGCCGAAGATTTCCGGGCTGACCCGGTTGTACAGCCACGACACGATGTGGGCGTCGTCTTGGCGCCAGTAAGCCGCCGTCGCGCGCGGAGGATCGATGATGTGGTCGGTGACGCCGCTCTTGGCGAACATGACCTCGAAGAGTGTGCGCCACTGTGTGTAGTTGGGCGGCGCCAGGGTGAGAACCAGCGGGACATGTTGGTTGATGAAGATCCCGGCCAGTGGCGACGAGAGGGCGACCGCCGCAGCGGAGGAGTTGGGCTCGCGAGGGAAGAGGGCGCCGCCCCGCGGGGAGTTGGCGAGCGCAGATGGAGTGAGCATAGGGGTTGAGGCGGCCAGGGCTCGGAGGGGGGTGCTTGAGCCATGACTGACCGGAGGAGGGGGAGGTGGCGGTGGTGCGGTCATGGCGAGAGCGGGCGGTGCAGAGAGGCAGCGGAAGAGCAGTTACAGACGTAGGAGGTGGAGAGCATCTGATACCATGTTAGCGAGGGAAAGGAGGGAGTAATGCACCGTAGTGCTTGCCGATCTATTAGCTCTGCATATATACAGTTTGAGTACATCCGTTGTGCAATCGTGCACATAATCGTGCGCCTAGTGCGCAGAGAGGGGGAAGACTAGGTCATGTCTAGAGAGAACTAGTCAACCAGCAGATATCCGTTGACACCAATGATGATCCATACACAAATACTACCTACTGGATACTACGTCAGACCGATCATTCTTCCGAAAAATAGATGTTAGAACATATGACAGAAGGGTCAGCGTGGTAAGTGATTCCGTTCTAACTCTGGATCGTGTGCTTGTAGGGTGGTGATTAGTTCATTGGACCGATGAATCAGCAGGACCGAGGTACGAAATGATCGACGGATGCCGACGAAGCAGAGGAGCTAGATGGTGTGTTTGCGGCCGCGAGTTCGTCGTGTCATATGCATTCCGGCTATTGTGTAATCGTTGTGTTAACTAGGTGCACTGTGTTTTCTTCTTTTAGGTAGTTGTGCGCCCCTTCGGGCTGCGAAAGTATGTGGTGCCGGTAGCAGTAGTAGGCTCCGATCGAGATGCGGTGCCTCCACAAGGGCGCCTTTTTGTGTGTGGAGGAGATGAGCGCTGAAATGATGATGCAATGCAAGTGTTCGATCCTACTTCGGTTTCACACAGTGGTGTTGTAATTGAGAACTGTGCGGTAAAATGCAAATAAAACAAGGCCAGACCTATATTTCGCTTTCTGTGAGTTGTAACTTGCCTGTGGTCGCACATTACCATCGCCGTCCCAATAGCCAGCAACTTGTCTCCATTGATCTTTCAAAAATGGATTTTTTTTTTGCTGTGTTTAGGTTTGTATGGTTTTTTTTCTCTTTTCAAGGGTTCTTTTTTCCCATTATTTTTTGACATTTTCTTAACTTTCCTTCGTGTTCTCCTTTTGCTTTCAATTCATTTCGGTTTTTCCTTCCTGTTCTTATTCGCTTCTTAAATTTCTTCCCCTTTTCTTTTCTACTAGCAAACATGTTGCGTTATAACGGAAGATATATTTTTTTCTTTTCACAGACCCCTATCTCACAGAAACGGTAAAGTCATTTTTATTCACTTCTAGAAATTTAATAGTTAAATTCTTGGCGTGAACATGATCAAACAAATTTTGAAAGAGTGGATTTTCTACTCTCGGGTGTACTACACCTGAGTTGTCAAAAAATTAAATATACGTGATCAAACAACTTCCAGAAAATATGAAATTTTGAGGAATCAAACAATATCAATTTTTTGAGGATCTTACAAAATTTCATCCAAAAATAACATCCTAGGAGCTCTAAGAAAAAAATGCTGCTTAATTTAAGCAGCGTTTTTTTTGTGAGAGCTCTTCGGATGTTATTTTTGGCTGAATTTTTGCAAGAACCAGAAACATTTTATAGAGTTTCATGTCGAAAAATTTCAGATTTTTTTCATGTTGTTTGACAATGTTTTTCCAAAAAAAATTGACCAACTCGGGTGTAGTACAAAGAGAGTAGCCACTACTTTCCGAAATTTTAACATGATGCAAGGCGCATCTCCACTAATGTATATGTGAAACAACACTCAATATCACAAATTACATAGCATGCCAAATGATCAAGAGCTAATACTACTGGAATAAACCATATTCTAAACAATTATTCCTTAATTTTGGTTTTTCAATTATCATCTCGATGAACTATTCTATTCCACCGACTACACTGGTATAACACTAAAGCCATAACTTAGTTCTTATAGCCTGTAAATTAACTAAGAACAGTACCTGTAATAAAAACTAAGAACAATCACCACATTGCAGTGTAACTGCAGATTAGCATTTCTCTTAAAGCACCATTACACTGGCCCCCAACCGATGGTGTCCCATAGGTAAGAAAGTCAAGCTTCAGACAAACCGAGCCTTCCCACTGAGTTGTGTAGTCAGATTTAAGGAAACAGGTACCAAGTTTGATCACAAATTATGCCAACTATTTTTTTCTAGAATACACACTAGCGTGCGTATCATGCATTAAAGAAAGAGAGGGGGCAAGAGCCCCGTCCACCAAAGGTCAAAGTTTACACGTGATTACACTTGTTAAAAGAAACACTACCGCTACCGTGCCACACACGATCGGCGCCGATCTAACTACTCGCTCTATCCCACCTAGCAAGCACCGACAGGGAAGAAGCCATGTCGTGCTTAAACATTCCAGCCCGCGTCCATGCTCTGCCCTCGGTCTCAATGCACGCAATCAACGTTGCCGTCGATGGGGAGGCGCCCTCGAAAACCATCTTGTTTCTATGCTTCCACAGTTCCGATAGGCACAGAGAGATCATGGTGGTGACATACCTTTGTCGGATCCCGGAAGACGAGCACGTCATGAACCACTCGACGATCGAGTTCTCTTGGCCGGGCGCCCAATCTGGCTTGCCCAGCGCCGCAAGCACGGAGACCTAGACCGCTCGGGAAAAAACATAGGTTAGCATGATGTGATTGATTGTCTCCTCGCCCTGATCGCAGAAGGGGCAAGCCGCCTGGTGGGGAAGCCCTCGCTGCGCCAACCTGTCCGACGTCCAGCACCGATGCCAGGCCACCAGCCAGTTGAAAAAGCGGCATTGAAGGGGAGCTTTGGACTTCCAGGCTAGAGTGGCGTAGGGTGCCCTCTCAAGGCCCCAGAATTTTGCCGCATATGCCGATCTGGCAGAGTATTGACCAATGGGAGTGTTGGAGTTGTGTCGAGTATAGTGTACAAGGTAGGTTACAGTTGGACTATGAGTTGTATTGTGTTTACATAGGATGTAGAGTCGTGTCCTAGTAGGACACTTGTATCCTAGGCCTCTCATATATAGCGGGGTAGACACACAATGTAACCTATGCCAACATAATAGCACAGGCGCGCAAGGGGGAACCGGCGGCGTGTGCTGACGCCCGAGTGGCCGGTGTGCGGTGTCACGGGAAGGAGCGCCCGTAGTCAGGCCCCGGGGATGTAGACATATCGGTGAACCTCGTTAACAAATCTCGGTGTCACGTTTGTGTGATTGCTTGGTCCTCGGATGATCGCCGGAATGCCTCGGATTTATTCTAACAAGTGGTATCATGAGTTAGGTTGTCTGGAGATTGTTTGTTGTTGATCCAGAGGAAATACCGAGTTTTGAGATGCAGCCGTGACTACGGTGTGGTTCTTGCCGACATCGGGAAAAGCAATTAGCGGCGGCAGCGGTAGATCGGATCGATCCGATGTGAACCTGGCAAGCGGCGGCGTTCCACGCGGGCAGAGCGCTAGGGCAACCAGAGGCGCTGGTGCAACCACGTGCGCAGGGCAGGGACGAAGCCCAGCGGGGCTAGCGTGGTCCAAAAGGCGTGTGGCCTGTGCAGCGCAAGGGGGGCCTAGGTCGCAGGGAGCAGTGGCGCGTTCTCGTTGCAGGTGCTGGAGGCCGTAGAAGCCGAGTCGAGCGACGCGAGATTTGTTTGGATCAAAAGGTGGACCGAGTCTATGTATGACACGACGAGAGGCAGCATATCAATCCGGAAGAGAAAATCCATTGATAGCGGCAATCCATCGGAATTAGCACAGGCTAGGCAAAGCAAGTTGCACCATCCAGCATTGGAGATTAAGCCAGGAGCAGAACACGTGAAGACCGGAAGGAATTTTTGGTTCGTTTTGCTATTAGTACGCGAAGATCTTGTTCGTGTACTTGGGGCATCACGTGCATAGCTCGGGTATTTTTTCACACAGTCAGTCATACGAAGAACCATGACGTCAGTGGATATCAGGTTTGAGGTGGAGTAGTTCAACGGAACTGAAAACCTTGGGTTATGCCAGACAAGGGTGAAAAAATTGTTGGCACAACAGAGATGCTTGAAGGCGTTGCGAGAAGTCATATTAGCTAAGATGGAAATATCATGTGATGGATGAGAATTCGCGAAAGATGATTTGGGAGCGTCGAGCATGTCATACAGCCGGACAAGTTCGGTTGGGTCGGACTAGATAGTCTGACGGATCGACGCAAGTCGGTTGGTACAGAAGACGGTGGTGGGATCGGCGAAGACGACGTAGGAGCGTGATGCTGATGGTGACCGACTTCTGGGCGTGGAAACACGTGGTGCGCATGCCCGAGGCTTGTGCGGCTTCGACAAGACTATGGCGCGTGATTGATTTAAGGTGGTGTATACACAGAGTTTGAAGTCGATGAGGTGCGAGGGTGGACTGATCATCTACCATGGAGTCACGTTGAAGGTGGAGCTAGATTGAGGAGCTACGGTGTAAGGATCCAGAGAATCGAAGCCTATTTCAGCTGGGGGAAAAGCGAGGGACACGTAGTTCAGACTGGAGCCCAGTGGTCTGATGGAAGCGCGAAACTCGTCATCGGTCGGTGATGATCGGTGGTACTCTGCAGTGGGGGTTGAGGGGTGCGGTTTCACGGCCATTGAGACTCGACCGGGACAGTGGAGGCTCGACGCGGTAATAGCGGCGAGGCGTGCGGTGCGCACGGGAAATGTCGACGGGCCAAGGCTCTGGTGGTCATACATGTGGTGAGACAACTGCGAATTTGGCTCAGGGATGATTACAAGCAATGGTGAAATTCCTTCAAGTTTCAGACAGGCGGTCAAGAAAGGAGCGGTGATGTTGAGTTCAGGTAACTCTTATGTGTGACATCCAATATGTGAGTTATTCACTTTTACGCAGGTCAGTGATCAATGTGTCATATGGAGTCTTTGGAGTAGCAGCGGTTCTCATGGGATAAGCTCAAGTCCGATGTACATGGAAGTTTGACGCATGGACAAATCCAGGATGGTGTAGAATATTCGCCAAGGTGGAGTTTGTTGGAGTTGTGTCGAATATAGTGTACAAGGTAGGTTATAGTTGGACTATGAGTTGTATTGTGTTTACATAGGATATAGAGTCGTGTCCTAGTAGGACACTTGTATCCTAGGCCTCTCATATATAGCGGGGGTAGACACACGATGTAACCTATGCCAACATAATAGCACAGGCGCGTAAGGGGGAGCCGGCGGCGTGTGCCGGCGCCGGGTGGCCGGTGTGCGGTATTGTGACGGCGTCACGGGGAGGAGCGCCCGTAGTCAGGCCCCGGTGATGTAGCCATATCGGTGAACCTCATTAACAAATTTTGGTGTCGCATTTGTGTATTACTTGGTCCTTGGATGATCGACCGAATGCCTCGGATTTATTCTAACACCATGCCCATCTGACAGAGTCTCTCGAGTCCGGCGTTAGCTGAACCACAACTGTCGCCGACCACAGAGCCAGGTACTCCCGAATGGTGGCCTCGTCCATGTCCGGTCCAAAGCATGCAGCTCAACTACCACTCGCAAGCACCTGCGCAACCGTCAT